CCCTCCCCCTCCTTCCCCCCTCCTTCCTCCCCACACATCTCGCGTGTGTTTATATATGTGTGTTTACCTAATTATACGATAATTAGTGTATATAATATATATGTATTGTAACACAATAAGTATTTGTTTCATGATATTTCAATTATCACAGAAATCAATAAATTAATATAATACTCTTGATCACATTTGGAAAATGAAGTCTTTATTTACAATCTATTTCTTTAAGTGTATCACTTTCAAATGGTTTTAATAATTGTAGTCATGCAGTATACGTATAAATAATGTTCACAAATTTATTGTTCATTTAATAAATAAAACAGGATAGACGATTAACGTATAGATTTCGAAAGTTATTAAATGTTTACATAATGTTGTTCTTTGAAAGATAGTAATTCAGAGGTGAGTTATCACAAAATACATTACAAAATAAATAAAATTTGCTTGTGACTCCTTAAATGGAAGATACTAATTTTTTTTAAATATAATTTCTAAAATCCTATTACACCAAGAACAAATAAAACAATTTTGAGAATTTCATTCATCAATGGAAATTTGAATTTTTATCTTTTATTAAATTTTTATATGATTATTACTAACTATAGTTTTCTTAGTAAAAATTTAACTTAGCAAGATGTCATTCAAAATAGTATTAATGACTATAAAAACTAAATAAATTTTTATTTTCATTTTCCTTTATCCCACTTTGTTACTAAGCCTGGTTTGTATTGTTTTTATGAAAATCTAATTGTAAATATGAAAACTCAACTTTCTACTAGTATATGATTATTCGGAATCATGAAGCGATTGATTTGATTTATTACTAATCAATCAATCCAATGTTTCAGAAATTTTTCTTTTTGATGTGATATCATTATATGAAAATGTATCCATTACATAAACTTCTGGCAATACAGTTTTTGATAGACCTATTGGATATTTAAATAATTGTTCTATACGTGACTCCAATAAATTAAACATTTTTTGAAATTCAGGTGATTGTATAAAAGATTTACTAGAGTTATTATCTTTTTCATTCAATCGTTTCAAATACATTAAATTTTTAAAACTTAATAAAGTTGCACGAGTGGCATACATTATAGGTATATTGTATATTTGTGTTACTTCACTGTTAAAAATAGATGGAAAGTATTTCTTTTCAAAGTTATTAAATAATATATTTCCTTGGTTGATGGTTTGTATACACAGTTTCTTATAACATTTGCTTTGAAGCTTCACATGTTGAGGATTGTTATTAATGTTTTCAAAAGATGAGGCATCAACATCAGAATGGTCAGTAGATGCCATTTTTTTAAACATTATATCACTTGAGTTATTCCTATTACTTTCACTATTAAAAAACTGTTTATGTAATGTCATTTTTTTTGAAAATGTAGAATACTTTTGAATATTAAAAGATTGCTCACATTTTAAATCATTATTCTGAAATAAACGACTAAGCTTTTGAAACTGTAATTCCTGCTCATTACCACCAATATAAGAAATTACAAAATTTGGGGTATCAAAATCTATAGGTTCTTCAAGTAAAAAGTTATTTTTTGTATTTAAATTATAATTAATGCATTGGCTTCTTTTTGATTTTTTCAATTTTATTCGTGAATCAAACGGAGGTGGAGGTACAAAATAAGAATCTTTATTAATCTCATTTGTACCAAACATGCGTAATTTATACTTATCTATAATTTCAAGATATCTTTTCTTATCACTTTTCAGTCTTATATATTCCTTTAATGAATACAAGAGTTGTTGATTTCTATCATTTAATTTTATATCACTGATGTCATTGGGTATACAAAGTTTGGCATTTAATGTTTTTAAAACGTTATACAACTTTATTGCATTATATTCCAAAGTTTTCATGTTATAAAGTTTCCAGTTATGAAGAAATTTTTCTACCTTGTATTTTGTACGAAAATATTCAATTAATTTTTTATCTATATCATAATCTTTACTAATCATATCATTATTATGTTTATAAAATTCTCCATTTGTGTTCTTCTGTCCTTCCTCTTTTTCAGTTTCATTGTAAAAATCATGTTTATGTAGTTCAGATAAGGAAATACCCCTTTTAATATACTTTTGTAGAGCTGTATATCTGTGTCTTAATTGAGTTCTAGTTTTGCATGAAAATTCTTTTGCTATCATAGACCAATTTGGACCAATATGTTCAAAAAAATTGAGTAACTTTGTATCTTCCTCAAGTGTCCATAAGTTCCAGTTTGCAATTTGGTTCGTAGATAATGTTTGATAACGATCATGAAGCTGCACAGTGGATCTATTAGGCATCATTGCAGCTGATATTTTACGAAAATTTGTACCATATAGCGTAATAGCATTTTTTAAAATTTTGTCTTCCATTTTAGTAAATCTACCTTTTATTAAATATGGCGCTAAGCTATAGGTCCATCGAAAGTAAATTTGTTGTTTAGTTCTATTTAATGTCCAATTAGCTATCTCGCCCCATGGAATAAAGTCACCAATTTTAAATATTTCTATCAGTTTTGAAAGTCTTTTATCTTCTTCATTTTCCCAAGTACAATTTTTAATTTTAGGTAATTTCTTTGTTGTATTATATCTGATAAAACATTGATATGCAGTTCGACCTGTATTTAAATCTTTGGCTATTTTATCCCAGTTTTGAAATTTACACTTTTTTACAATTTCTTTCAGTTTGGCATCTTCTGATTTTGTCCAATAATTTTTATTGATTTTAGCATGAAGAAAAACATTCCACATGACATGACAATCAAGCGGAGAATGAATATCTTCAAAATAAGTAGATGATATTTTGAACCAATCAAATTCTCTTTTTTGCAATGGATTGATCAGTTCTAAAAAATCTGTAGATGAAAACTGTGTTGTTGCTTTTCTACTTTTGTCAATTTTGCCCTTTAATTTCAACATTCCATTATCAATCTTCGAGCATTTTATTTTTTGAGTACATAATACATCCATAATAGGTTCTTTTCTTATTGCTTTTAAAAGCACATTCCTTTCTTTCTCTGTCCATGGAGAAAATTTTGGAAGATTTCTGAGTTGTAATTCTTTATGATTTTCCTTTAATATTTCATCTTCATTATTAGAAGCAAAAAAATAATGTTTATCTTTAAAATAAGGCATACCAGGATTGCAAATTAAAACCTTTGTGTCTCCAACCATATATTTTTGTAAACTTCTTTCTATTATTGTTAATTTTCGTTCACATTCTTGAAGAGCAGAGGTTATGTGTCTTTTTAAATCCAACAATAAAGAGATTATTTGTTCGTTAAATTGTAACATGTCATTACAATTTTCAATATTGCATTCCATAAAATCATTTTTATTCTGACATTTCTTTTGCAGTATATTTATTTGATCCTTGATGCATATGTTTGAATTATCGATTAATTCGGCATCGTTTACTTTAGAAATATTTTTAAAGTAATCTTCAGCTTCACGTTCGGTAGATAATATACTTTTTAGTAATAACATTTTGACCAAGTCATTATCATTATTAACATCAAGTAACGTGCTCATTATGAGTAAACCACTGGTTTTACACTATTCATTAATTAGCATATATTTTTACATGTATTTAATAAATATTAACGGAATATACGTACTAAAATATTAATTACACATGAAAAGATAACGAAATGTAATATATTTAAAAGATATATTGAAAGTTTTAATATACGATACAACAGTATTAATTTTGAAAAAGGATTATAAAAAATAAAATAAATATTGAATGCACAAGTAAAATGTAAAACACTTTCTATAGATTGAACGAAGTTTAACTATTTACACTTAAAACTGCATGAATATACGTACATGAACTGTTTTTTTATTTGTCACGATATATTGTATAGTAATGTACAATAATGTTGGTTGATTTGACGAATCAATTTGAAGAAAATAAAAAATTGTACGACAGGTTAATTTATTAATTAAAAATAAATTAAAAATTTGTTATTTAAAGAAACTCAAAATATAACGTAAAAAGGAATATACAATTGGTAAGAAATTTTGAGTTTGAAATGAAAGATGGTTGAAGCAAACAGAAAATTTTGACGTTTGAGCGGAAGTTGTGCACATATGTGTGATATAGCTTCTATAAAATGGTGCATGCGCAGTTTGTATAGTCTGAATATGTCGGCTGGATAACGTACGTTAACTGTTACCATGATAAGAACGATTTCTTGTGGTTAAGTTTATCGCTGTTAAATCATTACAAAAATCATCGTAACTTAAAAGTTGGAAGGTACAGATAGAATAAATATTGTTAATTCGTAAAGTTAAACTTGCTATATTATATATTAAAAAATTTAGCAGAGGAGGCCTTATGTCAAGACAATTCAGTATCGGGAAGGCCAACGACGTGTGCCAACATGAAGAAGCTGTTTTCAAAAATCGAAAACACGTCGAAGGAGCCTAACAGTTACATTGGAAAAGTTTTTGTGGTTGGTCGTTATACTGTCACTGTTGAAGAGGTGTTAGCTGAAGGTACGTTTTACTATCAACCTTGACTACTCATCATGCCTCCCAACCATTCCATTCGTCTACTCGATTATATTTTGCTCCTCATATACAACTCGTTTATGAAAAAAAATTACTTAAATGATAAATGCTGAATTAGACATATTAAAATAATAGTTAGTTGTTCGATAAAATATAATAAGATATGGTTGATAATTGAAGCAATTAAATTGGATAAATATTTATTTTACTTTATATATGTGTATATATACACATACTACATATAATATATAAGCTATTTAAATAAATAAGTAAATAAGTAAATAAGTAAATAAATAAATAAATATATATAAGCATATAATTTTTGCGCGCGCGCGTATGTGAGCACATTTGTGCACACGATGGCACACACACGTACGCGCGCGCACTGAAAGATCTATTGATATTGTTAATGTTACAAATGAACGTAATATAAGGAATTACATTTTCCTTATACATGGTTTATCTGTTTAATTGACTTAGAAACTTCATTGCAATATTCCAAAACTTGGATACAAGTAATGAAATATATATTTTGATAATATTATAGGTGGATTTGCTATTGTATTTTTGGTAAAATCTTCAAGTGGACGTTATGCCCTTAAACGCATGTATGTTAATAATGAACATGACCTTAATGTATGTAAAAGAGAAATACAAATTGCAGTGAGTTTTAAATATTTTTTAGATGAGTTAAAATATTGTATTGCATAAAAAATATTGTAAATTTTATATTGCTTATATATGATTTATATGGATATTTTTATTTTCAGAGTAATTTGAACGGTCATAAAAATATCATAGGATATTTGGATAGCAGTATTACTCACATAGGTGGAGGGGTACATGAACTTCTACTTTTAATGCCTTATTGTAAATCTCAAGTTCTACAAATGATGAATAATAGGTTAAAAATATTAAATAAATTTTAACATTATAATATATATAATATGTATAAGGAAATTCTGAAGTATTGACTGAATTATTCACAGGTTACAGACTGGGTTTAGCGAGTCTGAAGTTCTTCAAATATTTTGTGATATTTGTGAAGCTGTATCTCGATTACATCATTGCCAAACACCAATAATACATAGAGATCTAAAGGTTTGTCTCTTATGTGATACTTTTTTATTGAATTCATAAATTTTAGTTTACTAATATTTTTTGCTGTTGTTTAATTAAAATTATTTTCAGATTGAAAATATATTGTATTCTGATATTGGTCATTATGTATTGTGTGATTTTGGTTCAGCAACAGCAAAAATTCTTAATCCCAGTATACAGGGTGCAGCAATAGTCGAAGATGAAATTAAAAAGTATACAACCCTTAGTTATAGAGCTCCTGAAATGGTTGATATGTACTGTGGGAAGCCTATTACAACAAAGGCAGATATATGGGTATAATAAATAAAAAATTTATAATTTAAAATATTTGTTTATGACAAAAAGCAATAAACAAGTAATATTTCATAAATTCTCAGGCATTGGGGTGTTTGTTATACAAACTTTGTTTCTTTGCATTACCATTCGGCGAAAGTACACTTGCTATTCAATCAGGAAATTTTACAATACCAAATCATTCAAGGTTTGTGCTTTGCATATGTATATATTTCTTAATTATATTTTCTTCTAATTGTTTAATATAATAAAACTATTAGAACAATACTTTATATTATTATATTATATATATATATATATATATATATATAGATATAGTAGAAGTCTTCATTGTCTGATCCGTTATATGCTTGAACCGGATCCTGATAATCGCCCCGATATTTATCAAGTTTCTGTGATTGCATTCCAAATTCAGGGCAAAGAGTGCCCTGTACAGAATTTACATGTACGTATACACATGTATTTTATAAATATTTAAATATTTAATTGTTCTCATTGAATAAAGAGAAATTAGAAGACTGATAGTGAGATAATTATGTGAATATATTTACATATGATTATAGTATAAGTGTAATGAAATTATATATATTATACATGTTGCATTTTATAATTAAATTTGTCTACTTTTTCAGAAAGTTCCAACACCAGTTCTGGAATCATTAACTTGTCCGCATATGGAATCTGAAAATGTCAAAAGATCTTCATTGGTAAAAACACCAAAACCATCACCAGTAACTACTGTTGAAGGTACATCGGTTACACCAAGACAACGACCAAAGGGGCAGGCTGTAAGCACAGGTCCAATAAGTTTAAGTGGTCAGATTGTAAGTCAAATATCTGGTCAAGGGAATCAGGTTCAATCGCAAAGTTCTATAGGAAGTACGATTTCATATATTCAAATGAGTCAACAAATTGCTTCATTGAATGTGTCTCAAGCTTATGTAGGACAGAGTATACAAGCCAATGTACAGTCGTTACCAGTGAACACACAATCATCTTCTCACCAAGTATCAACGATCACTCAAGTTCCATCGCAAGTTTGCTGTACAACCAGTCAAAATGTTTGCTTTGGGCATCAATCTCAAATTCAGAAATCACAATATACTCAATCTCAATGTTCTACAATTAGACGATCCCCTGTAAGTGTCCAAGATACAAAAAGTTCGTACTATTTTGACTCAACATCAGCAACAAACGTAAATGAAGAAAATCTAGAAGCACTATTTCCACCATCTGGTAAGAAGATTTACATGTAAAAGACTCAGCAAACTTTTCTTGCTTGAATTGCATCTATTTGTAATCTTATATTTGCAGGTTATCCAGATCCGTTTAAAGATGATAGCCGAACTATGCCACCACCTGCAAAAATACCACCACCTGTAGCCCCTAAACCCACTAAAATTTTACCAAAGGTATCAACTATTTCTGCTAGTTGCCCTCCCAAATTTACACCTATTATTCCTTTAACATCAAAACTGAATATTTCAACGGGGCTTAACAAAACCGTTCCTATAATTGTACCAACTTTGCCAAAACCAGTCAATAAAACGGAAAGTTTGAGTCAGAATATAAGTTCAAGTACTTCTCCACCCGATAGTCCGACACATTCTTCTGCACGTCACAGAAGAAATGTTAGCGACACAAGTGCTTTTAATAAGTAAGTCAGTTATTTAATATTTATGTAATTTCTTCTACAAAATGAACTTGTGTTTAAAATAACTGATGTACTTATTTGTCATCTACATTGTAGAGCATTCGCGAGTGAAACAACTCAATTTTTGGCACCATATGAAGCTTCAGTGAAATCACGTACAGAAGATGTTAATACCCTTGAAGTTTTAACTGGAATAAGACCTTGTTTAGGATCTAGTGCTTCACATGTACGTATTGTAAGTACATAAAGTGCACTGATTTAGTATAATAATTTTTCTTAATGTTAATTCTACATATATTATTTAATTGCATCATCATCATTGACATTAACAATGTGGTCATCGTCGCCAGCGCTGTTGTCATTGTTATTGTTATACCTCCGAAATATTTTTAGTATTGTATTTATGCATATTATATTAATAACACATTTTATCATTTTAATGTAGAACTTTATTACAATTTTAATTTATTACATGTTTTAAATCGTACAAATCATATAATTTATTGTTTGTGTGAGCTGCACTTATTTTAATAGTATGCAAAAAGTATGTAAACAATTTTTATATATTTGAAAGCACTTCAAAATTCATTTTCATTTAGGGCGAACTTTCAAGCGTAACTGCTACAGAAGGAAGGTCTTTAAGTGCCGATGTAGCAGCTTGGAATCCGTTTGAAGACGTACAACCATTCAATCAATTAACAGAAGATCATATTTTTGGTGCAGAGTTTGATAAAATTAGAAGAGGAAGTAATACAAGTATCGGTGGTGTAAAAAGTCGCGAAAGCCTCGTTATGACATACACAGAATTACCAGAAGATCCATTCGAATCTGCACCTTTCAGTTTGCCAAGTGAGTGAGCATGTGTGATCCTATTCATTTAATTGAATTCGCTTTTAAAGGAAAGTTTATCGCGTTTAGATATTTGTTAATTTATAATAATTAATCGAAATGTTTGTTTAAAATAGTGTTAACATATTTGTATACCTTTTAGCAGGAAAGAAAAACAAAATTGGATCAAAGACTGCGGCACTTGCTGGAGGTAATGCATAGACTGCTTCGTATACATTCTTATTTCATTTTTCTTTTCCTCCTTCATGAGTCTGTATACAGAAGAATTTTACAAATGACACGTATTCCTCTTACATTTTTTCCTCTCCTATCACCTTCTGTCTTCTCTTGAATAATTTTTCACCAAATTGTAATTAAATAATACACTCAGGGCTGTCTAATTCTTCCTTATGATTGTGTGTAACTTTTTTAATGTGGATTATTGTTATAAAGGACAAGAAAGTCTATTCTATACTGTATGCGCTATCTAATGTGATATAAATAATCTAATTTATGAAATATGTTAAGAAACAAAAGTTATAAGGCCAATCTTTATAAAAAATTACGTTCCTTGATAGACATGGTTTAAATCTGCCTGTGAACTATTTGCAAGTTTACTAGAGTTAAAAGTGAATAATGTGAATGTGAGGAAGGTTTTACTGAGATGTATACAGACTTACTTTGTTTCTTTATCTTTATCCATAAAGGCTAACAGCAAAAGGATAATATAAGGTAATTTATTCTCGTTGTATACTGTAGATGACTCCAGCAATGCAAGTATGCATGATTATTCTTATAGAGTTACACTACGACTCTCTATTCGAGAGACGATCGAATATTACCTGTGATGATGTAGGAAAGATCTCATTTTATTAAAACAAGGATAAACTATATAACTATAACAGAATAAGAAATTGCTTTATTCCATTTTATCATTGGCATTTTAAAATTATATATACGAAAAGCATTATTGTTACGAATGTCGAACAAATCAGTCGCATTTGGGTCATGACGCACATGATAGAACGATAGAACGAAAATATATAAATATGTATTAACAAAATATAGAAATAAGATAATACATTGAAATGGTGCATGAAACGGTGATAAAATGAAGAGAAAGAATAGGAAAAGGAAAAGTCGGAAACAAAAGTTACTTATTAAAAAATATTGTATAACGTTTTGTGTCAGTATTTAAGAAAATGTGATCGTGAACCATCATATAAACAGTTAGTATCAGTTAATAATCTGATAAATTTTCAAAGTAACAATAATGCGAAATTTACATTGTATTGAATTACCAAAGATAAAGGAATAAGTTTTGATAAATGTCTGTTTTATCATGCACGGTGGCACAAGATACAGCAGGGAGAAAGACGAGAGGAATGCGTTTTATTGTATAGGCATACAAAGAATTGAAACCTGGAAAGAAGAATTGATATATTAAATGAGAAATATGTGTAAAAATTGTAAAGATTGCAGTTGCTAAGTATCGATGATTATTATTATATACGAGAAGAAATAATTGATTTTGTTATTTGTAAAATAGAGAAGATATTCATGTTATTTTGAAACTATTTCAAACGTATACAGAAAGGGGTATTAAATATTTAATATGTTAATCCGAGCTCATTTTTTCGTTGTGTGTATTGTGAAAGGGAAGATTTAAGAAACGCTATTTGCGTTCGTTGTTACTATTTGATGTATTATTATACCGTTCGTATATTTATTAAATAGTACAGTAAACAGTTCGAGTGTATCGAGTGATATTTCTCGTGGTTGTATAATCTGTAGATAAGTAAAATGAATGTAAGAATTTAATAACTGGTGGCGTACTAGTACCGTCAGTAGTAAAATAATATTTCACAATAAAAAGAAATGACCAGTTATGAATTGTTCATAAAATACTTTATCATGGTATTACGTACATCATAACTGGGTTCTTATTCTATGAAATTACATAAATAATATGTTATATACGTATTTATGTGTAACGTGCTCAAAGCAATTTTCAATATTTGTTTTTACATTCAGTTCGAATTATAGGTTTGACGAATTTCAAACAGAAATACGTATGTATTAAATATAGAATTGATACAAAATAAACGAGCATTATAGTATTCATTCGTTGTTACATAAATTATATGAATTATCTTATTCTTTTTAATAAATTGTACACGTTAGTATCAAATAATGCGTTGCATCGTAATCCTTATATAAGATATAATTTTACACGAATAGCCTGTCATCGATATACGTGCATGAACATAAACACTTTTTTAATTAAGATAATGTTTCATAAAACTAAATAACGAATGAGTAATATATAACATTATTGCAAGCAAGTAAGCGCAAACGCAAAGTGATACATGATTCACGAAATTAAGAAAAATTTATAGAACATTGAAAATGACAATGTAATATGATTCATTACTTACTAATTAACTAAATTTATAATTTATATCTGTGTAATGTACAATTTAAAGGGAGTTATGTACATTTGAGTAAAAGTAAATCACTGTAAATTAATTCCGGAATGGATTTCGTTGCCTTTTCGTTTATTTACATTCACGTATCAGTTAGAGAATTTTTACAAGAGTGTCACTCATGTTTATTATCCATTATGTGTTTTCGATTTTAAAGTATAAATAAATATGAATGAGTTATAAACAAATAAAGAATTGGGAAGAATTAGGAAATCAGTAATGATCACAAAGTTAATAGTTAGTGAAAAGAAATGTGGTGTGTGTGTGCGCTTGTGCAAATTATATTATGCATGTATATAGCTATTATATAAGGACAGAGTATTCATTAATTAATTTCCATTTACTCAGAATATTCACATATTATGCATCCGTATCACATTTTATTTCTATTCTTTTGATCTTTTATATCCGTCTTCCCTATCAATTTTCTTCCATTCTTTTTTCTGTTTTCATTTATACACTATCCTATGCACATACGCACATGTTACATTCAATTTTTGTATGTAATATTATTCATTTTCTATCTTCTTCTTTTTCTTATTTTTCTCCCCTTCTTTTTTTTTTGTCTTTTTTTTTCTTTACAATTTCCTTGTTTATTAGGATATCTTTGCATCGTAACGTATATATTATTGGTATCTTGAATATGTAATAGTTATGTCATACATTGCTATGCCTCGCTTTTTATTTCTGACTAATATATCTATAATCGTAAAATATCAAATATCTTTTCATTTGCATAGAAGAAATATTACTTCTTAATGACGAATACGCATGTAGCTATGATTAAACGAGTATTTTGCCAATATTTGCCATTTTATGTACTGACTATTGAATAAGGAAAATAGAATACTAATTTACGCTCACTTGAATGTTACAAATATTTAATCGCTACGTTATTATAACGAAGATAATAAAGGTTCTTCTTGATCTTGTCTTGTTTTTCTCGTAATCGGTATCTTTTAACGTATTTGTATTTCGTTTATCATTGTCTGGAACATCCTAATGAGTTTGGAAGATGCAGATAATAAATTTTTATTTGTTTGTATTGTGTGCGGGTGTACGTGTACGCGTGTGTGCGTGTGTGCGTGTATGCGTGTATTATTCGTAAAAAGGTATTAGGAATTAAATTGTACAATACTTCCGAATGGCACTCGTGACTGATCGACATGAAATGGTTCTGGGAATAGTATCCAAAATATTAATAAAAAAGGTTTCCTTTCGATGGGTTGGGCATATTATTTAATTACTATTACTCGACTGTCTAGTTGCTATTGTCACTATATTCTATTACTGCTGCTTAAAACGAGAGGGGGCGATTTTGCATGGAGAGTCGTATAAATACGAAGGTCTACATTATTCCTCTGTGATCAGCTAGCCAACGGTTGACAGCGATACTTACTATAAATAATGACGGGTGTATCATTACTAATGTCTATGTAACGTAGTATAAGCAGAATTCAATGTATTGCTATAGAAAGATTATTATTAATATCTCGGAAACTATTAATTAGTCAAGGCTAAAATTTTAGAGCTCGCCTCCAAATTTCATCTCGATCAGCCATGAGTAGAAATATTTCGAAGAATATCCAAAAAATATTCTCCCATTTCGTATGCCTTCCATTGTGTTTTTATCTTTTGCCGTGTATATGACATTTAAGATTCTTATACGACTGTTGATGACACAATGCGATTCAATTTGTTATACTTTTAATTTTTCCTCTTTTTGATCCATGCAATACGCAGTATTGTAATGTATCGTTATATATACATATATTTCATTAACGTATATGAAATGGCGAGCACACCACTCGAGAGCACCATAGGAATTTGACAATTTCGGACATCCCGTACTCGCTGTATTAAGATAATGTTACAGCAATAAATATGTACATTACTATTTGGTATATGAAGTATTGTTTTTTCCGAAGTAATGTAAAACGCAGCAATTCTTTGTTTCTTTATATTTCTTTTTTTTAAATTAAACAGATATAATAATAATATAGTGCTATACTGATGCAAAGATCATTACTGTGTTTTTTCGCATATTATCCTTAATCCTCCGAATCTGATTAGGACTGTTCCAGACCATGTGGTTATACTGTATACTGTAGTACGGTGGAAGTATTAACTAATGTTGTTTGAAATGGAAAAAGAAAACAGAAAAGACAAGAATAAACGGAAAGAAAAAAGAAGAATATAGAATTGATACAAAGCTGGGGATAGGACTGGAAAAATGGAAAGGTGAAAGGAAGAGGAGTGAAGGGAAGAAGAAAAGATATCGTGTGTCGTGCGTTGTATGTGTTACGTGTTTTACATATATATATATATTATAGCAAAGCTCGATGAAATTCAACCAAAATTTGCTCGGTTAAATTTACACGGACTATCCTATCCCATCTTCTTATATCTGAGCTCAGTGTCTGGAGCTCAGCGGAACCTGATGCATGCATTTGACTCAGGAAAAGAAAAGACCAGTATCGAAGAGGGTTAATATGCAGTAAAGAAAATGTTACTTTCTGTAATTTTCACCGTATCTCTTCGAAAATAGTGCCAATGCGTTGTTAAGAATCTGATTTCAAAAGAAATCCAAACATTATATAAATCATTTTGCTGTATATAGCAAGTTAATTACTACACAATTAAAATTAGTCTGATTTATATAATATTTAAACAGATTTTAACGAGAAGAGTTCCAACGATGGATTGGTGCCATTTTTATGAAGATGACATTAGGAATTAGGAAAAGTGAATCAGATAATTATCTTTCTAACGGTGATGTCTCATTGAAGTATCTGGTTTCGATCATCGCTGCTCGACCTACT